TATCATTTGGGGGAAGAAGCATACAGTTGAACTTATAACACTCCCTGTAGCATGCTTTCAGTGTAAAAGCCAAAGCAATCCCATTAAAACACAAATTACATCACACCAGTATTGTCACTGCTGGGAACTCCAACAACTCAGGTAAAAGCCAGTCTTTACAGTAGCCTGCAAGGCCCTGCATTGTCTGTTCTCTCCTTTGCCCCTTTGCCCTTATGTCCTTTTACGTTATCAGATCAACAGCATTTTTTTTTTTTGAAGCCCAGTTTCACTATGTAGCCCAGGCTGGCCTCGAACTTGCAGCCATGTTCCTGCCTCAGCCTCCTGAAGGGATGGGATTACAGTCATGCACCACCGTGCCTGGCTAGACAGTATTATATAGGGCTTAACAGCAAGTAGTTGGGATGGTAATGACCTAGGCTCAGATGACCCAGCTCTGTCATTTACTATACTATGTGACCTTGGCAAAGTTATTTGAACTTGGTGCTTCAGTTTTCACAGTTTTAATATGGTTGTCATGAGGATCAATATTTGTATGGTATTTAGCATAGTGCCTGACATTTTTTATTAGTAGTAAATACTTACAGCAATTCTCAAGTCCTGTTCTAAGTGTTAGCTTTCCTTCGTAGCTGAGGGAACATTTTACAGCTTGAACAAGTACTTCAATAGCCCAAAGTCACATAGCTACTAAGTGGGCAGAACCAGGATTCAAACCCAGGGAATCTAGGTCTAGAACCCATGCTTTTTACATGATCTCACTCAATATGCATTGGAATAATACATAATGAATTCCTGATGGGGAAGAGTCTCTCTATGTAAACATGTCTATTTTGTTATTTGTTTTATTTTATTTATTTCTTCAGTTTTTGCTGTGCTGTGGGTCTAAGCCAGGGCCTGTCCATGCCTTGGCAAGTGCTCTGCCACTGAGCTAATCCATAGTCCTGTCCTGGCTCTTGAAAGATAGTTTTGCTGGGTACATAGTTCTAGGTTTAGTTATTTTCTTTCAGCATTTCAGATATTATACTCTGCTGCCTTTTTTTTTTTTTTTTTTTCCCTACTACAGGATCTTGCTATGTAGTTCAGGGTCGCCTTGAACTCTCTGCAGCCCAGGCTGGTCTCAAACTCATGGCAATTCTCCTGCCTCAGCCTCCCAAGGACTGGGATTATAGGCGTGCACCAGCATGCCCAGTTTGTCTTTTGATTTCTAGTGTTGCTATCAAGTTTAATTCTTGATATTTTGAAGGAAATGTTATTTCTCTTTGACTTTTTTCTAAGGTACTGGGGACTATGACTCCAACATATGAATTTGAAGAGTGGTGATGTTCAATTTACGTCATAACAATATGTAGCTCACATTATAGTATCCTACGGAATAGTTTCAATTGCTGTAAAAATACCCTGTACTTCAGCTGTTCCTCTCTCTCTCTCTTCCATGATCACTGCTCTTTCTACTGCTATCTCCATAATTTTGTCTTTTCAGAGTGTCATAATTCAAACTGACTTCTTTCACTCAGCACTATATATATATATATAAAGTTCCCATGTCTTTTTGTACCTTGATAACTCATGGCTTTTTACACGGATTATCCATTCACTTGTATTTCAGCAATTATATTTGTAATTTCTTTAAGTTCTTTTCAGCACCCTCACAGATTTGCCTATTTATTTTGTGTGTTGTCTGCCTGTTTTTGTGATCCTGCGTGTTATTTAAACATTCCATACATAGTTGTTTTTTTTTTTTTTAATATTCTTTGGCCAATATCCTAACATGAAGTCTTAAGGGGGTCTAACCCTGTTGCTTGTGAGGACTTGTTCTCTTACATTTTTGACCATCTATGATTGTGAGCTCATAATGTTTTTTCTTCATTATTGACTTCCCTATAGGCCTGATGTAGGGAATGTTTCCCTGCAAAAAAACCCTCAGCGTTTGACTCATCTGAAAACCAGGCAGTACTACTGACCTGGGATCACCCTGCTGTGTTTTTGAGGGTTGGAGTCTTCAGATCTTGCCACATCATAATGGATGTTTGCTTTCAGGGCAACCTTACCTTTTGTTCGTTCTCATTGTTTGTCCTCTGAGGTTAGCTTGCTTTGTGTTTAGAGAGAGATTTCCATTATTACTGAAAGTCCAGTGGGTACATTCTGGAAGTCTATTTTATCTACGATTTCATTGCTTTGTAGGTGGATAGCTCTTTAAGCTGTTTAACTGGGCATTCTGCCAAAGCCAGACTCAGTTGTGTGAGTTTAGAGATTGTGTATGGGTGGTGGCGATCACAGTAGGCACATTCCAGTCCTCTTGGGCATCCTCCTGATATCACTCTCAGTTGTTCAGTCTTCAGGATCAAACTTTGGGCCCTAGAAAAATGACACTTTCTGTCTTGATAAACAGGCCGTACTGTGGGGAATAAAAAGGAATGACTATTTTGGGTGCTGCCTCCATGTGCTAATTGAGGTGAGATTTTATTTTCCTGGCGCAGCCCTGCTGATGGAAAATAGATTTGAATTTATTTCTGGAAAGAAAACTCTGGAAGACAGATGTAGTAATCACAAAGACACAAGATTGAATCCCAGCTTGGTCATTTAGCAGGAATGTGACCTGGTACAGCTCATGTGACTTTCCTGAGCCATAGAAATCTCAACTGTAAAGAACAGTAAAAGCTGCTACTTACTATTTGCTTACAAAATACTAAGCACTATATATTTTTTCTTACTTAATATTCAGTAATATCTTTATGGACTATCTCCCACCCTTTGTTTACTGGAGATTGAGCCCAGGGCCTTGTACATGTTAGGTAAGCACCATACTACTCGGCTACATCTCTACCCCTTTTTTACTTTATGTTAAGACAGGATTTCACTAAGTTGCCCAGTCTGGCCTGGATTTTTGAACCTCTCGGCTTAGTTCCTAGATAGCTGGAATTGTGAGTGTCTACTCCAACAACTAGCTACATTATGGTTATTATGGCTGGTTTTTTTTTAGGGGGATTGTTTTGTTTTTTGAGACAGGGTCTACTATGTAGTTCAGGCTGGCCTTCAACTCACTATGTAGCCCAGGCTGGCCTCAAACTCACAGCAGTCCTCCTGCCTCAGCCTCCTGAGTGCTAGGATTACAGGCATGAGCCACCACGCCTGGCTGTATTATGGCTGTTTTTGAGAAAATGGAAATGTAGAGAAGCAAAATAAAAATAGCTTCTTGTTATGGCCAAATTTAAATGAATTAGTACATGTAGAATGCTGGGCAAATACTATAAAATAGTTAATAAATAGCAGCTACTAATACTATGACTATGAACATTTTCTGGATCTATAATTAAGTCTTTTGTATGATTTGGCCTAAATAAATTCATTTACTTAAAAACTATTTTCTGGAGCACTTTGTTACAGCCATGTGTACTGCTAAATGTTAGGAAACCAGGGCAGAATAAGACAAACATGATCCTAGCATTTAGGGCACTCCCTTGGAGTAAGAGAGGTAGATACAGACATGTTTACACTTGAGCCTAGGAAGTACTATGATGGAGCAAGAAAAGGGTGGTTTGGCAGTGGGGATTTATGAGAAGAAATGACTTCTTGGTTTATACTAAAAACTGAGTTGGAGGTGAAGGTAAGGATTAAAGGCAGAGAAAACAATTATGAAGTCCCAAGGGTGAAAGACTACATGCTGAATTTAAACCTGTGAAAGTACATCTGTGTGTGAGGGTTTAGAAAAATTGTGGAGAGTGAGACTGGAGAGGTGGGCAGATAGAGGATTCTTAAAGTGTTTTGTAAGCCCCATTTTAAGAGTTGACCCTTTTATCTTTAGGGCATTGGAAAGCTTCTGAAAGGTTTCTTACCCAGCAATGATATGATTGAAAAGGTCACTCTGGCTAAGCTGTGGGAATAATAACAATAACTTAAATTGCATTACCCTATTTATCATTATATTGACACTCAGGAGTAGTAGGTATTCTCTTGATTTTACAGATGGAGAAATTGGGACTTAATTCACTCACAAAAATTTACTGTTAATGGGAAGTGGTGTCCGGGACCTATGTGTTTCTGACTTTAACCTGTATCACTGTGTCATTTTTAACTAGTTATGATTTGTCATAATCTATGTTGTATTTACTTTGTGGAAAATTCTCATTCTTATAGTATTTTGGAATACTCTGATAGTTTACAAAGTACTTCACATTATTATTTTCTTTAATATTAAAAAACTGTCAATTAGGTAGTGTTCCCTTCATGTTATAGGTCTGAAAATTGAGGGTTAGGGTATATACCGAGTAGTAGAGCTGGGTCTTGAACACCAGGTTCTCCACAGAAAAAACCTGCTTTGTGGGTATTTTATGAACATATCACACTTCTTTCTTGGATCTGTGCCCTTTGTTTTTTGTGTGGATGTTTATAAAGCTTTTTGTTTCCAGGTTTTGGAGACCATATTCATTGGAGGACACTAGAAGATGGGAAGAAAGAAGCAGCTGCCAGGTACAGAACATGATTTTAGGTCATTTATGATGGTTAAACTCTTTCTAGTCATCAACCTAGTAGTGAATTTTAGGTGAAGGGTTATGCCATGGCAGAGCAAGAGCTGAGTAATTGCCTGTCAACAACAACAATACTGGCTAACATTTCCCAAGTGCTTATTATGTACTAGGCATTAAATTGTATGAACTAACTCATTTATTTCTCATAGTAACTCTGTGTGGTGAGTTCTGTTGGTACCTTTTTAGGGATAAGAAGACAGGTACAGAGCAGTTAAGTAACTTGTCCAAGATTACAGTTAAGTAGCAGAGCCAAGATTCGGGTACAGGCACTCTGACTTAGGCACCTGCACTCTCAACTAGACTATCCTACTGCCTACTAGCCTCTAGTGAAATATATACATAATCTCCCAAGTAGGTTCAGTTTATGCACAGACAATTGATAGCATAAGGAGAAAAAGATTGGGGGGTGATTTATTTAATCTTCACAACAATCATTTTATAGAAAAGGAAATTGAAGAATAGATAAGTGAAATAACTTGCCAATAGTTAAACTACTAGTAAGTGGCAGAGCCAAAACTTGCATTTTCTTTACTAGATTGTACTGGAGAGATACAAAGACTTTTTCCACCCCAGTATATGTGTTGCTTCGTTGTACACACACACTTGCACAGACACGCACTTCTGGACCCACCAAACTAGTGCTTGCTGTTCCTAGAACAGAACCTACCGTTTCATGGTTCTGGGTCCAAACCTTCTGCAGTAGAGTTGTCGGATGTGTCCGACTTTTTAAAATTTTAAAAAGGATGTTCAGTTACATTTGAATTTTAGACAAACAACACATAATTATGTCCATGCAATGTGGGGACATACTTATATTAAAAGTTTATTGTTGTCTTCCTGAAAAATATCCGGTGATGTCTCTGGATAGTTTTTCTCTTCTGTTCTTTTATAGCCTTCCTACATCTGCCTGTTGTAGTATTTGTTATTCAAGTGGCTGTAGGTGCTTGATTTTTTTCCCATACAGACCCCTGACTTCCTATGAGGGAATCATTTTATATCGATATCTGAATCCTCAACCATAGGGACGTTAAGTGATCGAAATGGTTACTGAATAAACTTTTACTGAAAGCCATGAGGTAGGTGTAAGAGGAAGCATGAAGGAGGGCAAGCATTTATGAATTGACATTTTTATGCTAAATATAGTGCCAGTAGTTTTGCAGTATTTCATGTTCATTAAATTCTCTTTAATAAATGGATGGGTATAGTCCTTGAACCGCAGGGAGATCATATTGTCCTGAAACGTAAAACATTTGGCATAAATAACTGATGCCATTTTAGTCTCTGCGACTCCTTTTGGAGAAAACTGGACCTGGTCCTATTTAGCATAGGTGTCTCCATAGAAACAGGAGAGCCTGTAAGAGTCCAGAAAGCCCGGAAGTGCAATTTGCACTTCCGTTTTACCCCAGAGACCCGGAAGTTGGCATAGCGTGGTTGCATATGTCCGCTCCGTACAGGATGCCGCTTGTTGTGTTTTGCGGGCTGCCGTACAGCGGCAAGAGCAGGCGCGCGGAGCAGCTGCGCCAGGCGCTGGCTTCCGAGGGCCGCGCGGTGTACGTGGTGGATGACGCCTCGGTGTTGGGCGCGGAGGACGCGACAGTGTACTGCGACTCCGCCCGCGAGAAGGCGTTGCGTGGGGCCCTGCGAGCCTCGGTGGAGCGGCGCTTGAGTCGCCACGACGTAGTCATCCTAGACTCGCTTAATTACATCAAGGGCTTCCGCTACGAGCTCTACTGCCTAGCGCGGGCGGCGCGCACGCCGCTGTGTCTGCTGTACTGCGTACGGCCTGGGGGTCGGAGCCCGGGACCTCCGGGGGACGGAGCGGAGCAGCACCGGGGCCGGAACGTGAGTGTAAGCTGGACGCCACGACCGGAAAAGGGCGCAAAACCGCCGACGGCGGGCTCCGAGGAACCGCATGTTGTGGGCTGTGAAGTAAACGGGGAAGCCCGGGGCGACGTACCTGGGGAAGTGGAGCCAAAGGAGACCAGCACCTCAGATTCTCCAGCCCTAGTGACTCCGGAATCCGAGGAATCTGCAAAGCACGTGTCCGGCGCCTTTTACCCTCCCGAACTTCTGGAGGCTCTAACCCAGCGCTTTGAGGCTCCTGACTCTCGGAACCGCTGGGATCAGCCTTTATTTACTGTAGTAGGCTTAGAAGAGCCTTTGCCCCTGGCCGAGATCCGGGCCGCCTTGTTTGAGAACCGGGCTCCTCCACCGCATCAATCTACGCAGTCCCAGCCACTTGCCTCCGGCAGCTTTCTGCACCAGCTGGACCAGGTCACAAACCAAGTCTTGGTTGGACTGTTGGAGGCGCAGAAGAGCGCTGTCCCCGGAGACTTGCTCGCACTTCCTGGTACTACGGAGCACCTGCGCTTTACCCGGCCTTTGACCATGGCAGAACTGAGTCGCCTCCGTCGCCAGTTTATTTCCTACACTAAAATGCATCCCAACAACGAGAACCTGCCTCAGCTGGCCAACATGTTTCTTCAGTATCTGAGTCAGAGCTTGCACTAATCAGAGTCATGGTTCTTGTCTGACATCCATTGCACGGTATTTCTGTAGGAGTGATAGTTTGACGGTTTGCAGAGAGAGGTGATGTAGTGCTAGAGCTGCTGAGTTGGACTGATTAACCCAAACTTTCCTGGCAGCTTCTGTGCCAGGCTAGAGAATGAACAGGATGTTGGCAGATTTCTTCAGCAGAAAGAGCTCAGGAGGACAGAGAACGTATAGATTGGATTCTAGTTGGAATGTCACACAGTTGATTTTTCTCTGAGTTGTGAGTGAGAATTATTTTTAAAACAATTAGGAACAGAAACCGAACATGACACAATTCTGTATGTGCACTTCTTTTGTACAATAAGTATTTTTGAGTATTGTACCTACTTTTTTGCTGGCTTTTATCTTGGAGCAAGGTTCACAGGTAAATCCTTCGTTTTCTGTTCCTGGGAAGCCTTGACTTTTGTGGAAGTGAAGACAACCACTAGATTATTTTCTCTAATAAAATATTTTAAAAGTAGAGCCTGTTGGGGTCTCTTTCACTTAATGTAACTTAATGTTCTCCGTGCATCTTAATGTGACATTTTATATACACATTCGTTACTGGCTTGTTTTTGTTTTTGTTTTGTTTTGTTTTGAGACAGGGTCTCTAGGTTGACCTCAAACCATGAAACTCCTGCCTCAGCCTCCTGCGTCTGGGATTTATAGGGACAGACTGGCGCATCCAACTCATGTGTTATTGCTATACCTTTGGCTGAAATAGTATTTTGATAAAACTCAATGAAAGACTAGATTGGTCTCACCTAGAGTTACTATATTACGACAAGTTACATAACTTGTGGTTCATAATGTGTTTCACTGTGAGTTTGTCTTTTGTTGGTTTCATTGAACTGATAGTATAACTACTTTTATAAGTGCCTGTCCTGTGATTTTTTTTCAAATTAATTGCCTTTGAGAAGTGAAACACAAATGATTGAAGGATGTAAAAGACTGGGGTCAGAGGATGATGACAAAATTCTTGGGCGCCCATATGAGAAGACTAACTCGCTGCTGGAAGAAGGTGGTTTGGGGAATGCCTTACCAAGGAGTTAACATTTGAACCATCATTTTAGAGCAATGGTCCAGAAAGGGCCGAACTAAATATATTAGGCTTTGTGGATCTTGTTTTCTCTTGCTACATATACAATAAATAAATGAACGTGAATGTGTTCTAATATGGCAAAGCTATAGACACGTTGCTTCTTGACCTCTTGGCTAAGATCAAGTGTAGTATGTTCTTACCAGTTTAATATCTGATACATACTCTATGCCAGAACAGTGTATTACTTGGATTTTTGGTGTATATTAACTGGATTTTTGGAGATGGGAGGTAAAACAGCTTGCTCTTTCCACTACATGCAGCACCCTGGTACTGAAACACCTCCAAGAGTGGTACAACCTTCTCAGAATAAAAAAAAAAAAATACATAGAAACCGAAATGTGAATTACATTTAATTCAAACGTCACAAAATATTTTCCTTTAGATTTGCTTTTTAATTACTGAAAACTATGTTTAAAGGTTTATTTATTGTTGGCCCTATGGAAGCAAGAGGTGGGCTGGATTTGGCCTGCAGGCTTCAATTTTAATTCCTGTTCTATAACTGAGTAAAAGTACCAGGCAGAAAAGGGGAGGCAAGACATTCTGAAATGAGCATGCTTTGAAAGTGTGTGAGCTGTTAAAAATTGGAAGAGATAGGTTGCCATGGTTGATGATACATCGTTGGACCACCTTTTTCTGATACGTGAGAGGATTAATGCATGAAATGAAGGTTTGAACTAGGCAGCCTCAAAGACCTTTTCTAGTTTTCATTATCTGATTCGTAGCTAGGTGATTATTGGTTGAGATGACTTTAAACCTATGGATTCTGGATTGCCATTCTAAATGGAATTAGACTGTAAAAGAAGACCGATTTTAGAGTCGGACTTCTGAGTAAACGGCATAACCTAGATTTTTTGTTTGTTTGTTTTGGTTTGGTTTTTTTGTTTTTTTCCAGTACCTGGAATCAAACTCACGACCTTGCGCTTGCCAGGAAGGTGCTGTGCCACTGAGCTAAATCCCCAGCCCCTGTTTTGTATTTTGAGATAGGGTCATGCTGCACAGTTCAGGCTGGCCTTGAACTCCTGGTGTGCATACTGTCCTGCCTCAGCTTCCCAAGTGCTGGAATCACAGGCATGTGCCACCATGCCCAACAGAACCTAGATTTTATGTGGCTAAGTGTTTGTTTAATCTTTCGGGAGTCTTGAGTTTTCTCATTTATATTGTGAGACCATTAATGATATCTACCCTAGATTGTATTGAGGTCTTATATGAGAATACATAGAAGGCACGTAACACAGTGTCACATAATAAACATTAAGCACATTTTGACTATTTCAGTTATATCTACCCACCTGAACTTGCAATTGTCATGTATTTACAAGCACGTGCAAGTAGGAGAGGCACAAGTACATCCCAGATTTGTAGTCAGCTTGTGTATTTAAAACTGGTGGTGAGGGGCTGGGGATTTAGCTCAGCGGCAAAAGTGCCTGCCTGGCAAGCGCAAGGTCGTGAGTTCGGTTCCCGGTACCAGAGAAAAGCCAAAAAAAAAAAAAAAAAAAACTGGTGGTGAACCTAGTGCACGTGTGCCGCACTGGGCTGGTGTGTCATTGAAAGTGTTAAAAGGTTCACCATCACAGATTTAGAATATTATAGACATATAGTAAAGATAATATAAGTATTTGCTACCAGTAATATTGTATGTGCCAGACGGAGATGCAGAGACAGCTGAGAATTTCTTAGGAAGCTCCAAGTGTAACAGGGAGAGATGGATAAATAATAGATGTAAGGGGCTGTGGATTTAGCTCAGCGGCACAGTGCCTGCCTGGCAGGCGCAAGGTCATGAGTTCGATTCCTGGTACTGGAAAAAAAATACAAAAAAAAAAATTAATTCAATAATGCTAAGTGTAGTCGTGTATTACACTAGCATGTGGTGATACAGTGATACAGGAGGTTGTGTGATTAAGAAAACCAGTGATTGCCTACATAGGGCCCTCCTAGTTGATATGTGAGTTTTGAAAGCTTAAAAGCTTTATTTGACTACAGGTGGATTATGTTGCTCATTATTTAAAATTAAAAAGAAAAACTTTCCCTCCCTGATTATGAAAATTATATTTAATTTTGGAAAATACAGAAGTTATAGGGAAAAATTCACAGTCTCATCATCTATAGATAACTGATATTAGTTTTGGTACATTTCCTTTTAGGCCCTTTCCTTTGCATATTTGTATAATTAAAATCAGATTGTAGATGATTTTATATCCTGGATTTTTATTTAACAGCAATGAAAATTTTTCATTTATATTTTCAATGACTACATAATGTAATCATTTAAACCGGGTGTGGTGGTGCATGCCTGTAATCCCTGCACTCGGGAGGCTGAGGCAGGAAGATTGTTGCGAGTTCAAGACCAGCCTGGGCTACAAAATAAGCTCAAGGCCAGCCTGAACTGTATAGCTAGACCCTGTGTCAAAACAAAACAAAAACAAACAAAAAATAATGTAATCATTTAGAATACCATAACATTTTAAAATGTTGATTTGATGTTTTCTTGTGTCACACATCTTTCTTCTCTAGCTTTAAGGCACAAACTTGCAGAAATGTCAGAATTTACCAGTGATTTTGCTCTAATACATTGTTATTGAATATTTAGATTGTCTCATGATTTTCCAACTGAAGTCATAGTACAGTACATGACATCTTTGTACATTAATCTTTGCATAAACATTTTATTAGACTAGGTTTGAGGAAGTGGGATTACTAGCTTATAATTTGTTTGTTTTGTTTTTAAGCGGATTGCCTCTGATGGTGATTATTCATAAGTCTTGGTGTGGTGCTTGCAAAGGTAAGTTCAAGTACTCAACATCAGACTTCAAATGTGCTGTCAGAGGTCAACATATAATAAATGTTAGCACTGATTCTGCCCCACCACTGCTGGTTGCTTGAAGAAATACCAAAGAAATATAGGTTCCCTTCCTTCATGAAATGTGCATTTTTATTTGCAGGGGTGAGGATATTTGGGAGAATGAGGTAAATAAAATACAGTGCTATAGAGTATGGGGTTAAGTGCTAAAATGTGTCAAATCGACCATGAATATTAGAGGGAGATGAAATCATGTACTGAGAGACATGACAAGTAGTTAGGTAAGACTTTCCTGGAGGAGGTGGGAACCAAATCAGAACCTGAGGTGATTGACTGTGACATGCCTTCTTTCTCCTGTACTAACTACCCTGCACCTTCCCAGCCAGGTTTTATCTTTAATTTGGTGTGCTATACCTAATAACATCCCAGTTGGAGAAGGCATGTAAAATTAGTGTAAGTGATTGTATGTATGTATGTATACATATATTAGTGCCAGGATGCTATTCTATTTCTCCGTACAAGTTATTGAAATGTAACTGAAAAGCAAATAGTAATACTCCCCCGATTTGTATATTGTCCTTACTTCATCAATGAGATAAAAGTTTCAGAGAAAGTGAAATGTCATTCAAGGTTGCACAGCTGTGCAAATAACTAGCAGAAGAAGGGTTAGAATCTAGGAGTCCTGATTCTGGTTTTAAGTTGGAAAAAAAAAAAAAAAAGGCTTTTGCTTTATGCATCATTTTAGCAAATGTTTGAATTATCTGGGAGAATTAGTGATGCTCATGCTCTTTAGGGTTTGGATATGATGATGTTTTTTCTGTTCCAAAGTCTTTTCTTTTTCCTCTAGCTTTAAAGCCCAAATTTGCAGAATCTAAAGAAATTTCAGAACTTTCCCATAATTTTGTTATGGTAAATCTTGAGGTAAGATTGTTTCTCCTTTTTTTTAAAGACTTTATTATTTTAGATTTAGTGTTATTAGTAGTATGAAATCATACTGAACAGAGCCTGCTACTTGTGTATATTTGTTTTTCTCTTGACCTGTAACTTTTGTGTGTGTTATTTGTGTATTTTTAAAAATTTTTTGACCTCTAGTGTTAAGGCTTGCATTAGATGTGATAGAAAGCCGTTCAGCATGTACTTTGGGGAGGACGCAGGAGAGAAGAGCCTGAATAAGAGAACTAAACTTTAACGTTCTTTTATCCTTAGTTTTTAATATTTATTTATTTATTTATTTAGACTTTTGAAACATGGTCTCGCTGTATAGTTTGGGCTGGGCTGGAACTTACTGTGTAGCCCAGGCTAACCCCTAACTAGTGGTGATTCTTTTGCGTCACCGCTAGTGACTGGGACCACAGATGTGTGCCACCATATTTGGCTCATCTTTGGGTTTTATTGTTGTTGTTTGGTTTTTTGTTTTTGTTTTGTTTTTTTTTGGTGTTTTTGAGACAGGGTCTCACTATGCAGTTCAGGCTGGCCTTGAACTCACTTTGCAGCCCAGGCCAGCCTCAAACTCACAGCAATCCTCCTGCCTCAGCCTCCTGAGTGCTGGCATTACAGGCGGGCACCACCACATCCAGCCTTCAT